ATGAACTATTAAAAGTATATAAACCTGTTGAATCAATTGCATCACCTTTTCAATTTATAGTATTGAATGGTGAATTGAATCATATTAAAAATTATGAGTAGTGGGGATATGAAGAACATTTATATGGACGTTTATTATTTCAGAACAAAAACTTAATTTTGATTAAAATTATTAATTTAATGATTATACTTTTTAAATAAAAAAGTCGTTATATAATTTTTTAACCTATTAAATATAAACTTATATCCCAAAAATATTTATAATTTAACATGTGCTATTTTTACCATTAATTACATCTTTTTGGTCAAAGAATATTAAACATTATTAGTATAGTTTTAATGGAGAAACTAAGAGATAGTGGTTCTTGTTACCAATAATCTCTAGAAACGTCTTGAAAATAACTACTAACCGCATGTCATGATAATTAATAATAATCATAATTAAAGGTATTTGTAACCGTTTGTTTAGTCTAACTATATAAAAAAACATATACCTTGAAAATATATTTCATGTAATTTTATAAATATCAATCTTTGATTGTTTTGTTGGTCATACTATAAAACATTTTTTTATACTCTAAAAATATCCTATCAATTGTATTTTATAAAATAATTGTTTGGATAAATTAAGGTATTATATGAAAGATTTTTAGTTTATCAATGGTACAAATTTCTAAAGTTACGAAAAAAAAGGATAGAGCTATTATATCCATGAGATAACATATAATATATAATTGATCTGTTACATTAGATAAATTCTACAAATAATGCGTATGGTTTTAAGAAAACAACCCAATCTATGTTATCTTCAATTTGTTCAACCACGATGATTTTGATAGTTCCATCACCTCCATACCATGAAACTACGGTAACATGATTTTAATTCTTAATTTTTCTATTGATCAACATAAAAGGTTCCAATTCTTTATCTATTTTAATTTAAAATATAATTATTTTTTAACGTGATTTTTATTATTTAATTTTTAATTATATTCTAAGTATGAATTTGGTGATTGCTTGTCATGTGCAATCCAAATTAACTCCTAAACTCCTTCAACACAAATGTAGTAAGGGAGAGTAGGGATCGATCCCACGAGGAATTTAATCGTGTTAGTCATCACAAGTCTAGAAGAAATATGAAATAAATAAAAAAAGAGGGTTTTTGATTTGATTGAGATATAACTGAAACTAAACAAATTAAATTCGGAGAATAAGTTTAAAATAAATGTTTAAGTAAACAAACCTTGATTTAGGTCACATCCACTTTTGGAACTCATGATTTATCCTTGGTGCAAGAAATATCATATTCTTATTCAAATATTTGTTGTGATATTGAAATCAATCTTTCCTTACGATTAGCCAACTATAAACATGTATTCTAATCAACCCTCATTATTTAACAACCTTACACGATCTAGATTTAATTAAACAATGACTTTATGTATTACAAAGATCAACAAAGCGAGACAACACAACACATGTAGTTGCATTTAATCTAGTTAAACAATTTTCCTAAGAGTCATTAGTTTATGACGCAACAAACCATACACTCCTAGTTGCTATAAGAATTAAAGGGATTGAACAATTACGAATTCAATATTTAATCTAGCTATAGATTATTTCGATCAATAAACTAAGTACGCACATTAGAAATCAACCTAAACAATCATGAAAATAAGTATAGAAGAAAGTTCAATACTTGAATTAAACAAACCGATCCGCATTCATGTTTAAGCACCTCAAAATCTTTGGTTTTCAAAAGCTTCGATTACCTTCACCAAGGCAAAGGAATTAGTCGCTCATAGCTAGTCGCCATAGCATGAGAGAGAGAGAGAGAGAGAGAGAATAAAGCTGCATATACTATGAAGAATAATATCAAAAGTGTATACCTTAGTCTCGCTAGGTTCCTATTTCTACGGGTTGTCTATTTTTCAAAAAGAGTACATAATATTCTCTCCTCTTTTGGTAGGTTAGCATCTTTTTCCGACAAATTGCAACAAATTTTGTTTCTTAGTTGAAGTCACGTTGTCCGTTTCGCGGATTTCAGCGTGCCGCGTCAAGTTACAACGTGCCCACACCTTCATGTCCTTATGCATCTATGTCTGTCGCATCCGCGTGCCCACGCTATTATTCTTACGTGCCCATGCTTCTTGTGCTTTTCGATGGCTGAATTGGTTCGATCATAAATTCTCTTTATATGATTCTTTTAACGCCATTTTTTAATCGAGTTTTAAATCCTAGCACATAGAATACAAAAAAGTTAAGATTTATCATTTGGACATCTTAAAACGAGTAAAATGCGGGAAATTAAGCAATCTAAACATATGTCTTTTAGCATTATCGAATTCAATCTATATATATGTGTGTGTGTGTGTGTGTGTATTTGGTATTTCGACTCATCATATATAGTTTATGCCATGTAAGACTTTATTAATCCATGTTAATTCATTCTTACTTCTCTAATTTCAAATTAATAAAAATAAATATATCATTATAATTAAAAATATTTTTTTCCTTGATCAATAAGTATACCATATTATGATATTAAGGGACAAGATATCGATCCCTCTCCCCGTCTCTCTATGCCAAAGCCGAAGATCCCATTCGATGCCATGATGATCTAACATTTGCACAAAGATCGATCGTTACTATAGTGATTCACAAGGACAGAAACCGGGTTTCACATAAATTAGCTATCATTGTTATTTTGGGTACATGCAGCCTTTTTAAAATAAAAAATAACAAATTGCTAGCTGCATAAAATTAAATCAATATCTACCAAAAAAAAAAAAAATCCAAAATCCTTCAACGTTGTCATCATTTTCTTTTTCTTTTTCTTGCATGATCCTTATTTCATGAATTCCCATATATATTCAACAATCCCTATATTTATCAATATAAAAATTTTTATATGAAAAGTACGTATAAGATTAATTATGGCCCAATGATATATGTATTTAAAATGTATCTAACACACACACACACACACACATATATAATTATGGTTATGATTAAATCTTGATGGAAGACTTGGATTAAGACTATGAAAGGAGAAATGTTCTTTCGTGTTTCTCAATGAAAAATAACTAAAAGTAAAGAAAATTAAAGTGTATCAATTTTTATTAGAGACTACTTTCCATATATTACTTTCTTCTTAGATTTTCATATATTAAAGGACCATCTCATCTAAAAGCTTAAGCTAATAGGTGAGACCCCATAATATAATTTATATTAATCTCTAATACACTCCCCAATATTTGGGCTTGAAACTTGCAAATGTTCACATTGCCTTGTGCTTAATACTTGAGAAATTGAGAATGGTAAGACTTAAACTTAGGACCTTTTGATCAATCAAGCTCGATACCATATTAAAGGACTATCGCACCTAAAAGCTTAAGCTAATAGGTGAGGCCCCAAAATATAATTTATATTAGTCTCTAACATCAAATGTTTAAATATAAATTAAGGTGTGTTTTTTTTTAAAAAAAATATATATATAAAAAATATGAAGTTTTAAGATTTATGGGTATTTTGATTTTATGTTTTATTGTTTCGCATAATTATAATTGTTTATTATGGTTGTTATTCAAAACGACATTTGTTATAAACAGCTTGTTAAAAAAAAAAAAAAACGCAAGGAGTATTGTATAATTTTTTTTATCTAAGCATGAGAAATTAATTTAGTGCATATCAAGGATTGTTTAAAAGATGAATTTTAAAATCAAGATATGGTTCTAAAAAGAAAAAGGAAAATCAAATTTAGCAAGTGAATGCATGTAAGAAGATAAAGTAAAAGATCATTTTGCCCTTGATGAAGAAAAACAAATGTAAAAATAGAAAGATCTTAGCAAAAATTTATAATTATATTATTAGAAGAAAAAAAAAGTTGACATAGATTGTTGATGTGAATTTACATGCATGACACAATGTGCCTTAATCTAGTATAAAAATTCAAATCTATTCCATTTTAGGAAAAAAAGGATTTTAAAATGTTTTTGTTAGAAAAAAATCTCTTAAGATTAGATGGTACGTAAAAATCTATTGAATTTTCTTACAACAAAATCTGCATGGATACTAGATGATTAACTTGCCACTTGATTTTGATGAAAATCTGATTCTTCATAATATTTTATTGGGCACAAGATAATGGTAAATTTGTAGTTGATATATATATATATATATATTCACATTTTTTCAGTAGATTAGTGCTGGATCATACCTAACTTTTGGTCAATTCTAACAATCCTACTATCATCATATTTTCCAAGAATCAGAATTTATTTGGTAAGTTGGAGATAATTTTCTTACCACTGCACCTACAATATTTAATGTATTTTTTTATACTTTTTGGCAAGAGATATATTTTTTTTATATGGTTTTCCTTTTGAAAAGAAAATTCTAGCATTATTAATGTACACAACATTTTGAAAATATAAAACCAAATATTATTGAAAAAATGGCAAGAGAAATGTAGAGTGAGAAAATGAAAAATTATACTAACTCGTCCAAATTTTCAGAATGCGAGAGATAACTGGTTGAGCATGTGAGATTTTTCTCTCTACCTTTTTCTTTCTTACTTTTTTTTTTTTTTCTCTACACGGATGAATTGTATTATAATAAACTCTTTTTTTTTCTTTCAATTTTTTTTTTTTATTTCTATCTTTTCCTATTACAAAAATTTGTTTCTTCAAGTTTTTTAGGAACAAAATTAACTTGCCCTAAATTAAGGTCCGGCCCATTCATTTTTGGGTTTAGTCCTAACTCCCAAGCCAGTTCCAATGCTTTGGGTTCTCCCAAGTTTTTCACTATATTTCCTTTTCCTTTTTTTTTTTTTTTTTTTTTTTTCACAATTCTAAGTTTTTTCTAACCCCTTTCCTTCTTGTTGTCTGAAATAGGAGCCTATGAAGTAATAAAATAGATGACTATGAAGTATGAAAAAGAAACAGAAAAAGAATTCATGCATGATGGGCTAGTCTTATTAATTATTTTAGAATAACAATTCTACATAAATTGAGAAGAAATATTAGTGGAATGGTTAATTTGGCCAACCGCATTGTCTTGTCCCACCAAGAAATTGTTGGCACTAGCTTCTACTTCATTTTCTTGAATTTGAGAAGGTTGTTGTGCTAGAGAACTGAGGACTGCAATTTCAGCTTTTGTTTTAGCTAGTTGGCTTTCTACACTGTGAATTTGTTGGTGTAATAACGAGAGAATCCCAACACAGCCATAGACAGGATCTTGAGTTCTACATTGTGCCTCATAATGCAAAGAGTTTGCTGCTTCGGCTCTTAAATGTGCTGGGAGTTGCTGGAATAATCAATAGGAAGGTATGATTAAGACATTAAATTTGAAATATTGCTCAAAATAATTAAGCGGCATGCATTATTTTGGAAGAGGGAGTGCTTTTTAAAATAATTAAAATCAATTGATTAAGTTCTTGATTTTGATTTTTGATGCGAAACGTCCCATCTTGAAGTAACTAAAGGCTCTTGAAAAAGTTTTCTAGCTTACTTGGGTAAGTCCTATTTGAAGAGAAAGTATATGCAATGAACAAGATCAAATTGTTCTTCACAGAGTAATGCTATTTTTTTTTTGAAATAATAAGTTTACCATTTAGTTTCCGATTTTCGAATCATATCAACTAACGATGAGGTAGATTCTATTGACATGAAAACTGATTTGAGAATATCCATTGAAATGCTAAAAAGATTGAAAATATATGTGATAGATGTGATATATTCTCATTTATGGAAGATGCATGATTTACCTGGAGCATTTTTGCAACATTACTTGCACCATAGATTCTGTGAACACAAGCAAATCTTTGAGGATTATTGGAAGGAAAATAAGGAGAGAAAATGCAATCCGAAGGACATCTCCTTCTCAAATGTTTGCAAGCTGCACAACGACCAGAAATCATTCTCAAAATCTAAAGAAAATCTATTGAAAAAAGAAAAAACTTAACTATGCATGGATTCTCTCAATCTTTTTAATTTGTTCTTGAACAACAAATCCAATACAGATTTTCAGTGTCCTAACGTTAAATATAAGAGAGCATTATATCCAGAGGTAAACTAGCCTTAGAGATTTGCTAACGGCTACTTTTTTCGAATTGAGGTTGAAGAAGGAAAGTTGATGAGAATGGAATTTGATTCTAAATTTTGGAGAGAATTAAGGACGGCAAGAGTGGACTTATTATCAAAGGTTTTGTTTCCTCTTCCATGCATGCTTTCGCTTGTCAAAAATATAAACGTTTAGCCTTTCCTTTTCTATAAGAAATATAATCGTGTTTGAAAAGTTTTTTTTAGTAGAAAAAAGTAATTGATAGGCTAAGAGATCATCATTTTTTGAATTTGGTACAATTAAAACTTATAAAAAATTATTATTATTATTATTATTATTATTAAGAAAACTTTTAAGGAGCTTAGTAAGAGGTTAAAAACTTACAAATATTTTTCTTTTTTCTTTTTTCTCTCTTTTTTTTTTTTTTTTTTTTTTTTTTTTAAATATTTTGATTTAATGGCAAGAGGTATCATTAGGTGGTCTTGTGTGTTAACCAAAACTAAATCTTCTCTTCAAATAATTTTTTAAAAAAACTTTCTATTTCGACCAAATGTATTTAAGAAATATATTTTTCTTTATGTTGACCACAACATTCAAACTTAGGAAATCATAGAGTAGCAAATCTCTTTACCACAAGGCATTTCTTTATTAGCACTTGTAAATTCTTTTTATATAGTTTGTTTTTTCTTGTCTTAAGCAGTGTATGATAACAGTTAAGAAAAAAAAAATTTAACTTTTCTGCTTCTTAATTTTATCGTAGAAAAAAAAATCTTGAAGTTATAGTACATGGTTTTGATCTTTAAATAACACGACTGTATATGTCAGGTATTAAAATAGAAATTAGATAACTAATTTTATTTTATTTTTTTTCTATTTTTTATATTTATAGATGATTAGATTTTTTTTAATCAATTTTTTTTTTAAAGTAAACTTTCTATATCAACCACATGTATTTAAGAAATATATATATTTTTTTATACTGACCACAAGATTCAAACTTAGGAAATCATACGGTAGCAAGTCTTTTTACCATAAGGCATTTTTTCTTAGCACTTGTAATTTTTTTTTTATATAGTTTTTTTTTCCTTGTCTTAAGCATTGTATAATAACAGTTAAGAAAAAAAAAAAAAAACTTTTCTCCTTCTTCTTAATTTTATCGTAGTGTATATGCTGCAATGGTGTATACAATAAACTATTTATTTTTGTTTATTTGTTTATTTATGTTTATGGGATCTTTTTCTTTTCTTTCTCTTGACTCGTTGTCTCTCTTATCTTAACTTTTATTATTTTAGCTATTTTAGCTTCAAATTATTTTGTTGGGTATGCCTATAACTTGTATTCTCATGTATCTGAATGATTGCAAATATCTTATAGCCTAATGTTGCATGGAAAAGAAAATCTAGTATTGCAGTATCTTTATATAATTCTCTCTTTATGAAAAACAACCATCCTTAAATAGAAAGAAAATCTAGAAGTTATAGTACATGGCTTTGATCTTTAAGCAACACGACTATATAAGTCATGTATTAAAATAGAAATTAGATAACTAATTTTATTTTATTTTTTTCTATTTTTTATATTTATAGATAATTATATTTTTTTAATCAATTTTTATATTAATCGAGACTAAAACTAATTATCTTCGGACTAAACTAACACCAAAACATGTATAACTTTTCAGCGAGTACAAATTACAAAATGCATTTCAATGAGTCATGAATAGTAACAAAAAGGTATTCAGTAATTAACTAGATAAAAAGTTTAAAAGCATTCATTCCATATAAATATCCAACAAGCATACATGCATATTCCTAAACTTATGTAAACAAACACTATAAAGTAAACCAAGTCTTTGCATAGAAAATGCAACAACAATGGCCAAGCCACAGTCATACGAAATCAAACTACTACATGAGTTAAATCACAAAATCTAAATTCCATCATCTGGACCATATTATTTATATATAAATCTCTCCATGGTCGGACTTAGATTCTTGAAAGGTTGTTACTCTCTCGGGAGGGGCTCATTTCCAAACAGAGATTCCAAGAAATCATCATCCCAAGCCTGAAACATTCAAAAAGGAAAATTTTGTTAGGAAATCTCTACTTAAACCTTTTGCAATACCTAGATATGTGCTTGCATGTGCTTTTTGTTGTTGTTGTTGACATGCCTGATTCTCTTTTGGTCCATTGTCAACTGGACAAACGCTATTGAGCTCACAATCCATAAGGTCACCACTGCCTTTTTGCTGCACATATATGTATCAAAGAAAATGGATTAAAACATAGGTTAATAGTTGGATATTCTAAATACTATTAAAAAAGTAACTAATTATCCTTAAATGAGAGCATAATTGGTGTATCTTATACTTGCCTGATCACATATTGGAAAATGTCCCTCCAATGAATTGGCATTGCTTTCGAAGATAGGGTTCATAGCTCCTTCTCCACTTTGAGCCTACAAAAAGCCAAGAGGTAGTTAGACAAAAGAGTAGCTAGAAACAATGTATTACTTAAATGACTAACCAAAAGATGAGAATGATATATATAAGCCCTTCACAGGCATTTACAGTTTCAGATAAATCACGTACAATATTAGCAGACAAAAGAAATTTTTTGCTGGTTCAAATCTTTGTAACTTTGTATTTTTTCCTGCTAGTTCTTGCTGCCTTTTAATATAAGCTTATCGATTCTCATAAAAAAAAAAAAAAAAAAAAGAAAGAAGAAGCAAGACATATTCAAACCTTGCCAGAAGATTGTTCATTCCAAGGAGCATTTTCATCAATCTGAAGTGAGTTAAAAAAGTCTGGATTCAAGAGTTCATGCAAAGAAGTGCCCGCTTGATCTACACCTTGTGGCTACAAACACACATAGTAGGAATAACGTGAAAATTTAATCTAAGAAACAAAGAAGACTAAAAAACAATGATCTTTATATACCTGATAAGCAGGTAAATTGTTCGTAGGCTCCAAAAGCATGTCACTAACATTCAGTTCACCTTGACCAAACTGTTGCTGCTGATTAGAATTTCCACCAAAGACAGAAGGACTGTTGTTTGTCAGGCCATATGCATAGTGATTTTGTCCTCCATTCCCCAGACCAAGTTGTTGTTGTGGTGGTGGTGGCGGCGGCGGCGGCAGCGGCAGCATTGGAGCATTCCCTTGATAAACATTATTGAACGATGTTGGTGGGAATTGGTTAGCACACTCAAAACCAGCAGGAAATGACCCCCTTTGAGCCGCGTAACTTGATGATGGTGCTATATTACCCCCACAGATGCAACATTCATGTTGCCATTATGAGTCCAATTCATCAAGCCAGAATTAGCACCATTACCAAAGCCATTTGATGCTTCATTCTTACGGAGTTGCATCTGGCCTGCTCCGATGAGTTGTCCATCGGCAGTCACTCGAATTCCAGCATAATTATTACTAGCATTCAAGGAATTGTTAAAGTGTCCAATATTCCCAACTCCTGACCTATATTTGCTAGCCTGAATTCCAGCAGAACCAAATTTTTTATGTGTTGGGCTACCAAAATTCTGAAGATTCAATCTTGCTTGACTTTGTGGTGGGTACATTTGCATTGGACCTGTACCACTGGTGAGGCCATTAAGGACACTTCCACCTGAAGCCTGGTTTGCGCCAATATTACCATTTGATTCTTGTCCTGATCTTACTTGGTTGGCCTGACCACCAGAATTAGCATTGCCAAATATTAGTTGTTGAAAACCTGTTGGATTGCCAAATGGAGGAGACTGCCCATATGGTGGTTGAAGTGCAGAGTTGTTGCTCGGAGCTTGTTGGATTGGAGACTGTATGTTCCCAAAATTTGCACCACCAAAAGCTCCAAAACCTCTCGATAGTTGAAGTTGTCTTGGAAAATTTGAATACTCTTGCTGGAAATTTTTGAACATCAATGAGGGTTGGCTAGATGCAAAGGTTGACCTAAGAGCTCGTACCGACAAGTTCTTCGATGATCTAGCACCTCTTTCTGCAACCTTTTTCAGAAAGATCCGATACTTCTGTAAAATAATAATGATTATATTGTGTCAATGAAAGGATTATTGCAATAGCATAAAAGATTTTTGAACATCAAATATTTGCTTGTGTTCACAGTCACAGAATCTATGGTGTTGCAAAAATGCTCCAGGTAAATCATGCATCTTCCATAAATTAATGAGAATATATCACAAATATTTTCAATTTTTTTTGAGTATTTCAAGGATCTTCTTAAATCAATTTGCATGCCAATAGAATCTACGTTGTTGATAGTTGGTATTATTCGAAAATCAGAAACTAAATCGTAAACTTATTTCGAGAAAAATAACATGATCTAACAAAAACATCGTTACTTAGCCAAACAATAGCATTAATTAGAATGTATGATTTTATTTATTCTTTAGAAAACCAAGAAAAGAAAAGTTTACAGTCAATAATTATACTTTCAAATCCGTAGACATTGATCTACCTAACTGTATGAAAATATATTTTCTTGTAAGCCCTGAGATTTATTTCTTTATCTTTTACATGAAATAACATGAAAGAGTATGAGCTAAGTGGAATCTATTGAGAAGCATGATTTAAGAGTAAACTATACAAATGAAGTCTAGCTAGGTAAACACAAACCTGCAAGTGGCTAGCAACATTTTCTCTTGACAGCCCCGGAACACTCATAAATTCAAGAATTCTTTTTGGGACAGCCTCTGCATAATTTTAAAAATAGAAAGAAAATTATCAAAAATAAATTTGATAAGTGAAAAGTAAAAAAATAAAAAAATAAAAGCTTGAATAAGGTTTTGCTTACTGTCTAGCCCTATGTGGTTTATGGCCTGTAAAAACCGATTGTGAAGTGAATTTGTCCAAACCACCTTAGCCTTTTTTGAGGCAGGCCGGCTATTCACTTCTTGATCTTCCTTCGTCCTCTTTGTGTTCTTCTTTTTCCATCTTTTTTGCTACTGTTTTCGCCATTCATAGATGTTGCAGAATTCACATCTTCAGAAGGTATTTTCTCGACTAATGTTGAAGAAGATGGTTCTTGAGTGCCTCCTATTTCCTTGATGGAAGGAGGGTTACCTGTTTTGGTTGCAACTGCATACTGCCATACACTCTTTAGATCATCTTTGTTAATTGGTTTCACGATATAAAACGCAGCTCCACCCTCTAAACTTCTTAATATCACATTTTCGCTATCATCCGATGACATTACTGCATTAGAAAAGATCGAAAAATCAGAAACTCTTCAATCCAAAAAATACTATTTAGTATTATTTTGTTTCATACATACACACACACACACATATATATAGGCATACACATACACACATTTATATGTATATTCAACATTTTTTAACAATATTTTCAAGGTTTAAACTATTGATTTACGTAATTAAAAATAACCAATTAAATTTATGATGAAACTGTTATTGTATTGCAAATCTAACATTGTAAATAAAATGCACTTACTAATTACAGGAAGCTTGAATTCTTCATCCACTTGTTTTTGCAGCTCCATACCATTCATCTCAGGCATATGGAGGTCAGTGACAACTAAGTCAAAAACACCTTTTCTCAGTCGAAGAGTCGATAAAGCATCAAATGGACTCTTAACTGTGACAACGACAAGTTCTAGATTTCGATCATCTGTAAACAAACAAGCGAACATCATAAGATGGACCTTTAATTACAAATTTTACATCAAAATAGAAAATGCAGTGGCTTTTGCTTTTATAATTGTAGTTGTATTTGTCAATTACAAATCTCAAGTACTTTGTTAAATCAGGACATCAAAAGATAACAAGCATCATGTAATAAGAATATCTATGGATGATACTAGAAAGGCTAATGGTTTGAAAGGAAAAAAAAAAAAAATTAAAGACAGAGAAAGAAATCAAATTATTTACTAAAGAGTTTAGTTTCATGCTTTAATTTAGAAGACGAAAGAAAGAAAAAGGTTGAATTCTTTCTGAAAAATCATTTTAAAAAGGAAAATCATGATTATTGACCTTACTTTTTTGGGGGAAAAAACAAATCTTAAGCACAAAAAGTAAGAAGGGGAAAAAAAAAAAAAAAAAAGAAGCCATTTTCTCTTGTATTATCTACAAAGGAGTGGCATGCGTATGAAAACCCTAACTCCATACTGCTTGAAATTTAGTGGCTAAAAGACAATGCATGCAAGGACAATTCATCCCATTTTTAACCGTATGTGAGTTTTGAATTTCATAAAAAAAAGTGTAAGAGTTGAAAATGTGAAAATAATAATACAAGTACGAGATCTAACAAAAAAAACTAGAGGAAAAATGGAAGGATAAAAATAATGAGTTAAAATAACAAAAAATTCAATCACTTAGTTTTATTGAACAAAAACCATTATTCATATGATGCAAGATCCCTAACGGACAAAGGAGAAATATTGATTGAAAAAATTGACCGTAAGAAATATGAATTTAAATTTCGATTTGTTAGTGATATAGAAAAAATAAATAAATGGATCGAAAGATTACTGAAATGGAAAAAATCCTTTGTACTGTAGAAGTCAAAAAAGTGCTTGCATATCAAGCCTTGCCAATTCATTGGCCATGTATACAATGCATGATTGACATACGATATTAGCAAAATATAAAATTGGATTCAATTCATCAATTTTTTTTTTAAAAATAAATTATAAATGAGATTGAAAAAAAAGAAAAGAACACTAGGAGTAAATAAATTTTTTTAAAAATTAGAACTTAAAAAGAAAAAAAAACCCTCAAAATACCAAGAAAAAAAATTGAATCTTTGGTTTATGTATATATGCATATACTAAGATAAAAATCTAAGAATGACAAACTTTTAGCTAAATCATTGATGAAAATGGCATAAATTTCTAGGATTTAGTCAAGGAACCATGGATATAGACCATGGACCATAATAACATTAATCCATAGAACTTGATTTTTTTTCTTGAAAAAAAAAACATGCTGAGCAATAAAAAATTAATCATATACCTCTAAAACTACATAGTTTCAGCATTGCTGAAACAACGGAAAGAGATGTAGAATCATCATCTACAATTAAAATTTGAACTTTCAAACAAGAGGAATTTTGGGTATCGAAAGACTGATTGGATGCCATTTCTTTCACAGGCTATGTTGTGAATATATTCAGACCCGAATGGGGTAATTTATAGCAGAGAGATGAGAGTGTAGTTGGGAATGAGTACAAAAAATGTTTTACACTTGTCTCACAAGTGATTATAAAAGGCATAGACTGGGATAACTCTATAGAAAATCCACTCTTTTTTTTCTCTCTTTTTTTCCCCTTCATTTTTCATCCAATGTTAACCATATATATTTTTAATAGAAAAAAGATGAAGTGGTATTGATAAATTATAAAGACAACGGGAAGCATTAGCCCACCGATTTGGATATTTTATATTTTCAATTAATGTAAGAAATCTAGTGTAAAATGAACATTTAATGAAATTTACCAAAAATAATAGATTCTTATAAAAGAGTTCTTTCTCTAGAAGATTTTACAATCTTTTATTTATATTTTTCTTTCGGGGGTGTTATTCCTATGTAAGGATTATGAAAAAAATAAAATTATGTCATTTTTTAAAATAATTTATCTCATGTCATTATAAATTTGTAATTTAAATATTTTTCTCCACAACTTGAATTATTGCTTTCTAAACTAGAACTCTTGAAGAAGCATTAATGCATTCAAAATGTAAAAATTAAGTATACTATACAATTGTTAATAAAAGGGTACTTGTATAGTTAAACAATAAAATTTCTTTACAATATAATAGTCTCTCTTTGAAAACATTCGATAAATTGGAACGATACAACAAATATGAAAAAAAATCACGTATAGATAATCCGACGCGCTTGAAAAAAAATCAAAATTATCGTATAACGAATCGCATTATACAAATAAGAAAAAATTCAGTTAATTATCAAGAATCGATTATAACGAACTTATAATTATGGAGAAAACGACACAAAGTATCGAAAATAACTGTTAAGACTAACGATATTAACGGTTTAATTAAATTCAATTTTATTCTTAAAACAAGTCCGACATGCACATGATGCATGAAGTTTAATCATTTACGTTGTATTAATTACGTTCAAGTGTTATTATTATTATTTTGATAAAAATGTTTAAATATTATTAATAATTGTTACTATTCCTTCTTTATGGTTTAAAATGGTTACTCTTAAAATTTCTTATAAAGAATTAAAAGAAAATAGCAAAATCCCCTGAATTTTGACCTTCCCATTTGTACGCACTGGCAAAATTCCTCAAAAATAAAAAGTTGGCAAACAAATCAAATAGACCACTTTTTGGAGGGAACGTTTTTTTTATTTTTATTTTTTTCCATCACAAAGAATCTGTTGTAAAACATGCATGCATGCAACAACCTCAATAGACAACTGTATGTGAAAACCTGATACCATTTGGTTGGCTAATTTTGACGGACCTTCTGTGGATTCCTTATAAAAAGATGGACCTAACTTGGCATGTAATCATTCAAGAGGTGCCCCTTTTTAACCTAAAATGAAAATGCTAATAAATGGCTACTGTGCAATGGCAAATAAATGGTTTATCTCGTCCTAACCATCTTTAACCTAAAATAAATTGAACTTTGTATTTACTGTGCAATGGCAACATTTGGTATGTCTAGATGCCTTTCTGTTCTACCAAAACTGGCCACACGGTTTGCCAAATCTCCAAATCCACAGGCATCACTGGAGAAACCAGGTTCTGCCCATGGTTTAAAAAGCCTGGTTTTTGGATAACTTCAAATTAACTTCTGCACCATAAATTTTAAGTTTGCATCATCTTATCCTACCATCAGTTACACATATTAGATTTGAATTAATTTAGTTAAAGAAATAATTTAATTATCGTTCAAAAATTAAACATATTTTAATATTAATTCAACTTGAAAAATAATAAATTTAATCTCTCCATTGTGATTGAATTAGCTGTTCTTGTTCGAGAACATTTAGCAGTTATATAAAAGTTGACTCCAAAATACTTTATTATCTCTAAATATTAAAAAAAAAAAAAAAACAATATCTATAGTTAGGTAATTAGTTTATGTTAAAGTGTCCAAAAGGCGTTGCTCCTTTTACAGTCGGCAGGGAATCTCTGGGGCCATAGATTTAGGAGAATTGGCCTTTAGCCCATTAAGAAAAGGAAACGTTTCCTTCATACTTATCCAAGCATGCATGAGGAAGATGTGAAAAGTCTACAAAACAGAATCTGGGTTTGTGGTTTGACATGGCTATTTTGAGTTAATTGCATTAATGTTTCCATAAAGTGTAATTTTTGGTTTACAAAGGCAATTTATGGGCTTCGGGAGCATGGATTCGTTTGCCAAATTAAGCCCAAGCTTACGTCTGCTCTGTTATGGAGCTTTTTTTTTTGAAAAAAAAAAAAAAACTCACATGCCCAAGGTTTCTAATATAATTAATTTATTAAGATTTGAACTCATGATTTTTTTTATTATAAAAAATCATTATTACTGGACTATAAGGTATCGTTTAGTTATTAAGAATGAAAGTCCAAAATGAGAATACAAAAATCGAATGAAAATTAAGGAATCGGAAAAACATTTGTATTTTCATACCGTGTTTGGAATACTAATGAAGAATCAAAATGCAATTTAAATTTTTTAATATTTAATTTTTTATTCAAATAAAAATAATGTTTAAAAAATAATTTTATCAAACTATAATGATTATAAAAATAATAAAGGTGGTGGTTATGGCGGTGATTGCTCGATGGTGGTAGTGGTTGCGATGATGGTGCTTGGTATTGGTTGCGGTGCTCATGGTAGTTGTAATGATGATGGTGGTAAAAATAGTTAATAGACAATAAATAAATAAAATATATTATTATTTTGAAAAAAATTCATTCTCATTCCTTATTTTTATTATCACATCTTATATGAGAATGAAATTGTGTGTAAATTTTCATTCACATTTTCACTCTTCATTCTCATTCCATCTTCATTCCTTTTAATCAAACGAACTACAACGTAGGAATAAAATTTTCATTCTTATTCCCACCACTCTATTCCCGATTATCAAAAAGCACCTAAGTTCTTTGATGCTTTATTATAGCGCTTGGGAGGAGTTTATTAATTAAGATTTCTCATATATGATAAAATAAAAAATATTAAAAAAATTTAAGAAATGTTTATAATAGCCATTTTTAAAAACTATTATAGATATTCACTTTGCCTTTCGAACAAAGTCATATTAAAAGCCAACTTTATTCATTGGTTTTGTATAACGAAAAGGACCCCATTGCATTTTTATATATAAGAAAGATAAATATTTTGATTTGTTCTTATTTAATAGTTTGAATCTTCAATCTGATCTTATATTTTTAATCGCATTTATTATATTCTTAAATAATGTTTAAGTTTTTAATTTATTTTTTTGATCAATTTTTTCTACCATGAATAAATTTTTTAATCGAAATACTCCTAACTAAAATATATATAAAAAAAAATTTCTAAATATGCCAAAAATAGAACATGCAAATAATGTCATTTTAACTTTTTTTTCTTTGCATTTTATTTTGGGTTATTTCAATCAAAAAATTGTTCATGGAGAAAAATTGATCGAAAAAATAAATTAAAGATTTAAATATTATTTAAAAACATAATAGATGTAATTAGAAACATAAAAATAGATTGAAGATTTATGCTATTATATAAGGATAAATTAAATTATTTATCCATATATATTATATATAAAGATTTACCTATTTGCTAGTTTGAAATCAAGAAACCAACTCCACTCTTTTTGGTTGCTTGAAATAAAAATACCATCTTCCTCGTTATCTAACGTGGAATTCCTCCAATTAAAATTAATTGTTTTATGAAGTCTTTCCAAAAATAGTTGAACATCTACTATTCAAAGCTGATATATAGTTAATCAAATTTGCATAGTTAATGTATTAAAAAAATTAAAAATTAGTTAAATATAATACGCATCGTACAATATGGAAACCCCAAAATCAAGAAAATTTTCAAAAAGAAGGCTTGAAAATCTAGATAAATGCTCTGAGAAGATCATAAAATTAATTAGGCTAATATGATTAAAAAAATAAAGCCATTAAAAATTGAAACATGTTACGCTCCTTCATATATCATGAAATTTTATTATGTACATTTTGGTCTTTAAAAATTTTCAAAAAATTTACTTTGGGCTTTATATTTTATTTTTCTTATAAATAAGTACTTAATTGAAGTTTTTTTTGTTATTTTATTTTTATAATAAATACAATTTTTTCCTTGAAGATTTTTTTTTGTGAATTTTTTTTATTTGATTTTGATTTTGATTTCTCATATTATCATAAATATATTATATTTGCTTTCTACAATATCATATAATTATATAATATTTTTCTTGTTTATTTTTTATCTCGATTTCTTAGGTTAATTAATTTGTTAAGCATGAAGTCTTCCAATCAAAAACTTCAATATTTTTTTTAAAAAAAATTTGAAAATCTACTATTAAAAGGAGTTTATATGGATAACCAAATTGCTTAATAATGTCAAACAAATTACAAGAAATTAGTTAAATATAATATGAATCCTGCAATATGGCTACACCAAATCAAGAACATTTTGCATTTGCCATTTCTTTTCTAACCAATTTTAATTTCTTATTAGACCTTACATTTTCTTTTGAGCTGATGTTGTTGTTTTTACTGGCTTTAAAAATAATAATAGTAGCTCGATTTATCTTTATATAATGTGATTAGTGTTCAATTTGTTCTTATATCTTAAAATAAACTACTTATGTCTTTGTATTTTTTTAGTGAGTTTTCAATATGTTTTTTTGATAAATGTTTCTAATCAAACTTTGGAAAAAAAGTCACATGAATAATTTTTTTGAAAATATCCCTCAGCTGAACGTGTACAAGTCACCTTTTTAGAGGTATTTTTAGTAAAAACAAAAATAGTCACATGCAAGTCACAAGACTTTTCCGGTAGTTTAGCCGAAAAAATTCACCAAAATGATATAATAAAAAATAACTTAAAAAACAAGCATATAATTGATTCATTTTAAGATATAAATATCCTCAATTGAATGTATACAAGT